AACAACGTTATACCAAGGAATGTTATTACTCCGTTTCTACACCCTGGTTCGTTTTATTTTTGGGCATATGATTTCTGTGTACCACTATTTTCTGGCTCCATTTTATGATTTAAGTACCATTTTGTGGATTTGTTCCCCAAGAGTGCTACTCTTATATTTGAAGATTTCTGATATAGTGCTTCTCGCGGACTTGTTATTTAGTTCCGTAGTTCTTGATTTGAGCATAGCTCTTGGTGAATCTGGGTAACCATTGAAGCACTGCAATTATTACGTAGAGTGTTCGACTCACCTATTTCGGACCTCGCTTTTTCTACCAATTACCTGGCCATCTATGTTTCTACCCATTTTTTAGTTTTCGCTTAAACTTCTTTCGGGTAAAATTTTCTGGTATTATTCTGCCTTCTAAACTCTTTAAATTCCTCTAAATTATGATATGGAAGTGGGTGTCCATAGGCTTTGATCTTATGACCACGTTATTAACGAGATTTTTGGTTATTCCATCAGGCAATGTCCAGGTAACCTTGTGAATATTTTTATGTGGGGAATATGTGCTTTTAACAACCATACTTGTGAAGGCTGCAATAGATAGGTATAATCCTATGTCCATGGTCTTAGCTGTTGGCGTAGATAATTTTCCGAAGAAGGTATTTCTACTTTTTGCAATAAGATCACGAATTAGGAATAAAGCGTAATTTCTAGGACATCTGCCGTAAACCGTTCCAAGTCAATCGTAGAAATGGTGCTTGGTATTTTCTGTTTTGTCGTGGGTCGAAGTGTACGTTTATGATGGTCACTAGCTATTTCTGGAGCTCGTCAGCTTAAAATATACAACCAATTTCTAGATTTTGTCGACACTGGAGGCAGTTCAGAGCTCGTACCTAGTTTTATGCCAGCCCTGATAAATAATGGCGAACTGTGTTGTAGCAATTAAGCTACTTTGTCATTTTATTATTATTTTAAGTGTGTAAATTTAATATATTTTAGGTGTTTTTAATTGTAATCACCGGTATTGCTGTTTATATTGATTATTGTAATGCATATAGAGCAACTATACTTATTTCCATTTAAATTTAGGTTTAAATTGTAATTAGGAGTCAACCTGATTTTTATGTAAGTACTTCTTCCATTCAGGTGGCACCATACCATCTCTATTCAATGATTTTCGCCCAGCTCTATATCCTTTCGAATAATACCAATTCTTCCGGTTGCTAAAGCCACCTTTTCTGCTAGATTCATCCTGCAAGTGCGTTGAGGTCAATAGTGACAATTATTTGAATTGCGCTCGACTTTGCTTGAGATCGGCACTCTTCCTTGGTAGCTTGGTTAAGCGAGTCGACGTCAGTGACGTCAGCGAGCCCTTTTGATTTTTGGCGAACGTGCTAAGTTTTCTTAAAAGTTTCTTGAAGGGGTGAATCCTTCATATTACTGTCTCTGTGGTTCGGAGTGCCATATATGGCTAATTAAAAAAATAGTTTATTCGTCCACTCGGCTACTTTTTTTGTGATTTTATTGGAACATGCCAGGTATGTGACAAATCCTTTTATATTTTGAACATCCCTTAAGGTTATAATTATTTCTCCAGCCTATCTTTATATGCAACCACCTCTGGTGATGCCCATGCCTGTATTGTGTACCAAATCATGGTATACGAGGAGCCCCTTGTTCAGGGTGAGTCATGTACTTTTGTGTCTTATTGTAAACTTAAAAGACAAGTTTTTTGTCTATTTCACCTTTCTTCAAATAAAATGAGACCAACAGTAATTTAGTTTTCTCGTAGGGTCCTATATCCAGGCCTAGTATTGATCCCATTAAAAGAGGCATGCTTCCCTAAACTTCATGTGCCCCTACTTCTGAGGTGACTTTCATCGTCCCTGAAGGATAGTGCCTATCGTCCTTGATGACAGTTCGACTTGGAAGTAGTGACCACAGATTTCTTTACGTTTAAATTTTACCTTTTATGTTATATTTTTTATTGAGCATTACCCAATTGGAATGTCTCATTTCTATGTTCAGTTCGCTGTTCGGTTGAGCATATGAATTTTCAGAGCAGATAGACTCAACGAAGTCGTTTTATATTTTTTATTGAGCATTACCTACTTGGAATGTCTCATTCCTATGTTTAGTTCGCTGTTCGGTTGAGCATATGAGTTTTAAGGGCAGATAGACCAGTAGAAAGGGTCCCAATTTAAATAAAATCATCGATCATTACTGTAATTTTACACAATAATTTTAGTTAAGGATGGTACTGGGTTGGAATCAAATTATTCTTACATTTCTGATTCTCATTAAATTGACATACTGGATTTTGTAATTTTTCGTTGAAATTTTATTAAACATAATCAAGTGGAGAGCGTTGCTGTATTATTTCTTCTTATACATAATATTTCAGATTTAATATTGAGGTCTATTTCGAAGTTTGAGACCTTATAAATAAAAACTTCATGGTACGCTCAGTAGACACTTCTTAAACACGACGAGAAATGCTTTCCGATGAACAGCTGCTGTAATTTTAGTGCAATATCATTTGGAAAGATAGTCAACCGAAAGACGCTTCCCGGAATTCAGTTGCGAGCGTCAACCTTGGTTCAACTTCTAGTTATTCGAAAAAAAAATGTAATAATTGAATTATTGGTATGCGGTAAAGCTAAAAACCGTGACAGAAGAAAATCAAAAACTGTGTTCAGAGCCAAACTCGTTTGATGTGTGTAATTTTAGTCTTGATATTTACCTATTCATTTGTTTCACAGGTATTTTGTTTAATTTGACACTGCACAAAGAAACGAGAAACAGAAAAATCCTCCTACTCTACCAAAAATGAATGTGAAGTAAATTGTTTGCTACACTAACCAGATCTTATCCGAAACACTTACAAAAAGCCTAGAGCAACAAATGCTGATCCAATCAGCGCAAACGACCACAAAAAAAAAATTCTAAATGCTGGTCAATAGAACTTTTTGTTTTGCTCTACATAACTTTGCCAGTACCTACTTATCTTGGCCAGATATTAATTTTAGGGGAGAAATCTGGAAAAGTACTACATAGGTATAGAAAAACTTCCCACCTGGGTTTCCTCAGGTGTTGGATGATTAATTAAAATCGCTCGGACACGTTAATTTTTGTTTTTTGGGGACACATTTTATTGGTATTTCACCACCTACCTGTCAACTCCTAAGCGGGGGTGACAGGTACCCCCAAAATTTCAAATAGAAAGGGGGGTCGTGTGACACGTCATTCGATAGCAATTTTTATTAAGATTATATCCCCAAAGTTTCAACTTGCTACTATTTACCCTGTCGAAATGGCGGCTTGTCGAAGTTGTGTGGTTTTTGCCTCACAATACAAAGCAACAGATTTTTCAAGAGGATAAACATGAACCATTTCAAACTGAACTGTTGAATGACAATACTTAAATTAATTACCCATGTTATTTCATTACTATGGATAGATACCCTTAAAAAATCTGGTTGTTTTGTTATTATGTGATAAAAACCACACAGTTCAGATACTAGAGAAAAGCATTTTTCCTAACTTTGACAAGCCGTCATTTCGGCAGGGTGGAAAGTAGCAACTTAAAACTTTGGGGATATAATCATAATAAAAATAGCTACCAAATGACGTATCACTCGACTCGCCTTTCCATTTGCTTTCCATTTGAAATTTTGGGGGTACCTGTCACCCTTGCTTAGGGGTTGACAGGTAGGGGGTGACAACGCCAATAAAATAGGTACAAAAAAAAAATTGACGTGTCCGAGCGATTTTTGATTAAACACCTAACACCTGAGAAAACCCGGGTGGGAAGTTTTTCGCGCCCCACCCTGTATATTGCTACGTAGGCTGGAATTCGGATTAGTAACTATTAATATGGCTATAAAGCTTAGGTATATATTTTTGTCCCAAACTCAAATTAGATTTGGATGCCAACAAATATTGTGTTGAAGAAGCAGTTAATTGAATTGAAGAATTCAAAAACTAGTTAATTACAATGCAAAGGTAATTAAATTTTGTTTTTATCGCCGTCGTACCTAAGCAGCAGCAATCTAGCGAACGACACGCGCATTTTAACTCTTTCTGACAGTACCTAATGACTTGTAAATTTGGAGAAACATTTAATAATTGGACTTAATATAATGAGATATTTTATAGAATTGAACCTGCTACAAACCAAAACATAGGCCATTTAGCATTTTCCAAAAATAAAGCCATGTGGTACGCCGTTACCTGAATGCGCTGATAAGTATCGGTCATCATAGCAATGAGCAGGTTGATCAAGACAACCACCGAAACCAGCATGTATACGCCGAAGACAATTTTGAACAGTACTTCGGTCCAGAATGGCTGGTTATTGTTGTTCGTTTTATTATAGCCGGGGGTTTTGAGCAGATCGGTCGTCGTCTGGCCGAACACGGCAAAAAACAGCAGCTCAAAAGCGCTGACCGGGTTCTTTTGGACTGGAATCGAAAAGTACCATAATCAACGACCGCCCAACCAGTAGACTAATAAACCACGCTCAGGCAAGCATTATTTCATGATCCAAATAACGTATTCGATTCGACATTCTGATAAATGATGTTTATAAACATTGAAAGTATGCAACTATACTATGCCTAAGTTATGACATAAACTACACAAGACCGCCTATGGCATGATTTGGGATATCAAGTATTACTTTAATTTTTCTTACATTTATTACAAGAATCTTCTTCAGGGGTTTAATGGGTAGCCGACAAGTCTCTTAATAATACAGACACATACCCAACCTTCATCAACATAGCCAATACTGGTATCAATTTCGAATTCTAATTCTGCATTCAATGAGCTAGAATTGTCTTTTTTTTTTTTAATTGACCGACCTAGTGAGACTTGCCATGTTCTATATATCGAAGGTATTTTGTATACCTACTCTGAGTACCTACTCTGTATAATATTATGTACCTATATGTTAACCACCAAAAAAGCATTATATTATCAGTCTTCTGGTAGGGTGGTCAGCCATCAATTACCTGTATACGCTGGTATGTATCCGACATCATAGCGATTAACAAATTGATTAGTACTACCACCGACACCAACATATAGATGCCGAACACCACTTTGAAAAGGTTATCCGTCCATGCTGGACGATACTGCGATGGTGTGCTCCCTCTAGCTGGCTTCACCGTGAGCTCGTCATAGGTGGTCTGGCCGAAAACTGCGAAGAACAGCAGCTCGAAGGCCAAAAGTGGGTTCATGATCACTGGGAACATCCAGAGAGTTAAGTGCGATGCCATCTATACTCTGGCCGAGACGTAGAACACGCATGCGCTGACGAGGGACATTAGTCAGTGTTTAATTTTTGCCATACTCTTTTTTTTGTTTGTATGACAAAAAATACGTAAGTAGGTACCTACATATGAATACAATGTAAGGCAAATATTAACTTACTGACCTGGACAAGTACAAAATATCAGTTTAAAGCTTCAACTAAACTAAACTAGTAGGTATACAGGAAGCTCCTAAAGATTGTTATAAAAGTAAATATCTTTCAGGTAAATGCTCGCACCAGCCGATTTTTATTTTTAGTTGCACAGTTTCTAAGCTAATTTTCACGTATACAGGGTAGTCCAACACAAAAATATCACGTGACCTTTAACTTTTTCAAATTGAGGGTCCCATTTTCTATTTTATATTTATTTATTCAATTGTGAAAATCTGGTCATATTTCATGTATTCCTTATTTCTTCGTTAAAATCCCTATATTATTTATGAACGTGAATGACAAATTAATGCAAGTAGCGAAGGTGAATTTTCTATTTATTTTAATTTTTATGTTCAATTTTTGATACCAACAGTTCAACTTACGTAGAAATTTGGTTTAATGAATGAAATTTACGTGGAATCCAAAAATACAGTGAAAAAAGGGGTGTTAATTAAGTTAAGAAAGTTGAAGGTGACGTAATATCCTCTTGTTAGACGACCCTGTATAGGTACGTGAAAATTAGTTTAGAAACTACTACTAGAAATAATAACCTACGCGTGCGAGCAATTAGGTACCTACCTACCTTAAAAATAATTATTATCTCAATAATAAATTTATATCAACCTTTTTGAACTCACTACATATAATATCACACTAACCATTGCAAACTTTGATTGGACAAAAAGCACCTGGAATGAAATTGCACTACTGTGCGTGATAATAGTTATTTCTATCGGGGAATTGAGTAAATGTTTATTACCAAGGGTGTAAACATCAAGTAATGCCCGTAGTTGGTACATGTTATGTTTTACTGGTTCGATATCAAATTGAAAGGAAACAATTATTAGTCTGTAACTTATTTCTGAAAAAAAAAACACAGTTGCCGAGAGGGATGATTTTCGTAATAACTCATGTCCCAACAGTACTAATTGAGTAAAACATAAAATATTTGAAAATTATTCCTTTTTAATGTTCTACGAGTATTACCTGAAATTTCAAATGCGACAATTAACACTTATTCATCAAATCTACCATGAGAAAATTATATAGGCCTCGCTCATCAGAACGTCGTTTTGTTAAAACTTAGCAATTTTTCTTTGGCTGAGCGCTCAGTTCAAGTTATGCTCCACCACAAAAGTTTTTAAATACCATGTTAGATCTGACGTAAAATACTACAAATTATTATAACATAATTACAACATTTAGTACAAAGGAGATTTGAAAAAGTTAATTTTATTACATATTTTCTAAATATTTTTATAGGTTATGAGTGCTCAGTTGCCAGTACGATATGATCAAAAATAGGTAGTGTGACATGTAGTGAAAACATTTGTATGCAAGACAATTTATTCTCGAAAATCATTAATCTTTGCCTGAAGTATCCAACTGGAATTAGTGTGCCTTATAATGCTTTTATTACATACAGGGTGTTTCAGAAATAGTGATACACACTTTAAGGGCGGAATGTAACTCATCAAAATAAAAAAAAAAGTTCCTTTGAATATGGGTCCAGGAAAACGTTTCGCTTCGGAGGTATATAAACTAACCCAATCGAAACTAAAAAATATCAAACCCTTGATTTACCGTAAAGATTGTGGCAATTTTTTTGGAAAAAAAACTAGGGATTTTCCCTCGGTATGAAATTTCGGCAATTTATCTTAAAAATGGTGAAGTATAATACAAAAAAAAAACAAAAAAACAAAATTTTTCCAGACCCATATACTGAGGAACTTTTTTTCCTATTTTGAGGTATATCCGCCCTAATTGATTTCTCTCGGTTGAATCTACCTGGGTAGCTATTCCTATTATTCAGAGGTCCCAAATTTTCAATGGCCGGTTCTGACACGTAGGGCCTGCGCCTGATTCTAGAAACAAAGGAGCAGCGTTCTCACGAGAATAAATTTTTTGCTTTGGTCATTCATATGAGATTTTGCATGGAACTGAGAAGGACAGGGCGATTGTTCTCATAGGAACCTGCATCCTCGCTTCGAGAATCAGGCGCCAGGTGTTTTTTGATCAAACATCGGCTAGTAAGTGAAAATTTTTGCTGCGTTCAAGTTGTTATTTGCGCATAAAATTTTTCTCAGTTTCTAATTACGAAATCCTCTTACGTTCTCTAATTTAAAAGAAACAAAAAACAAGGAATTCTAGAGATGATGTTTGCCGCCTGCTAATGGCGCTCACAGCGCTACCGAAACTGATCCCAAAAAGTTCGAAAATAATAAACGAGACCACCTAACTGATGATGCAAAAGAGACCAGACCAAACTTTTGTCAAGAATACCGACAACTTCATGGTCCGAGTTCCCTATGTTTAGATCAAGAGGAGAGAAATCAAAAATATGGTCATCATATCAAAGATTGTTTCAAGAAAAAAAGAGCCGATGAATTTAAAAACAATCCTAATCGAAACGCTAGAAATTCTGCAAATCCTAATAATTACAACCATAGGGAAACTTCCAAGCACCAGTTGCGAGCAGCGGCGGCGCAACAACGGTGACCCAATTATAAATTGCCGTCCTATAAAATCATTCAATCTTCCAGAAAGTTCTGTTAATCTTGTAGTCCTAAAAAAATTACCACGAGACCGGAAATATCAAACATCGTCTTCGGGATACAAACTGCAGAAAATGCGGATTAATGGCAAAGAAGAAAGGCCAATATTTTGCTTGTAATAATAAGTGTTTTATCTCATCAATCGTATTAGATACGTTTGGCAAAATCCCCTCGGAAGTTACAAAATGTTTGATTTCATACGCGTTTTGAAGATCCTAGGCCTCTTTATTGGCAGATTAAGGAAATCACCTTCCAAGCCTAAAAAACAAGGAGAATGAAAATTCCTCATAGTTTCTATTGAAGTGAGAATAGCAAAAATGGTAAAAGGTGGGCCCTTCATCTAGCGGATTGAAAGGCCAGGCTAATCCCTAACCTTGACTGTTGAATAATCAGAGGCGTTAATGGATATGTCTTCGATCAACCCCCCCCCCATCATAATATACTGGATAAAACAATTAGCACTCTTTAATCAATTCGAAAAATGAGCTTAACTCAGATGGAATCAATACTAACATATGACCGAATTTCTTCTTAGTGAAAAACTAATACCTGAAGCAACAACACGGCTTTATGAAAAGGAAATCAACAACAACCAATCTACTGCGTGTGTCTGGACCCCAGAACTGGATAATGTCGAACCGACGGACGTCAAATATTTGGAATGTTCTAAAGCTTTGCTTTTAGTGGAATAAAATCGCTGCTCTAACTCGCTGTTTTTTGAAGGTGAGTGATTCGGAGGTATAACCAGATGGAACCTATACCATCTTGTAGAAGACACTTTGGGGCATGGGAAATGGGAATGCACAACTTTTTTTAATAGGACTGAACTTTGAGAACGGCCCTTAAACGTGACTGAGCTCGAATTAGAAAAACTACATTTTTCTAAACATTACCCGTTGTATTAATTTAAGCATACAATCTAAAATTCTGATTTTTTGCACGCTTATACTTGAAATATGAGCGCTTCTAATGACAATTCAGAAATTTCGAAAAGGTCCAAGGTATTTTTTTTCAAATTAGGATTATAGAATTATCAAAATCGTGCATCTAAAAGTTCACCCTGCGGGGAGCAATGTGAATTATTGAAAATTTGTATACATATATATCGAATCAAATCTACCTAGTGAAAATATTGAAAAAGTTTAAAAAAAAAAATGGGTCGCTAACTTACAAAAAAGGGTTTGTCGACAATATTGACAGCGGCGGAGAAAAGACGGGATGCTTCCATGTCCGATTCTGGTAGCAGACTGCTACCAGAATCGGACATGAAGCACCTCTGAAGATGCTAGCCACGCATGTTAGCGAAACGTCAGGAAGAAATTCCAACTTATGACGGCCATTAAGCCCGAATGAAAACCCCTTATCAATAAACCTGGGCCGCGAAAGCCTCACAAACTTTATAACTGAGTATCATTTATTACTGATCCTTGACAATGTTTCTCCTATACGGCCTAAGATCAGTGAATCTTTGCCGTTCGTGATGTTTATATAATTTTTTGTACGACTGATTATTTTGGTGTGCCTCTATATCAGTGGTCCCGGTCAAATCGTCTGAAATTTTGATATGACATACTTCTCGTTATCCTGATGAAAAGGTGTCATGGACGCAAAAAATCTATCGAGGGGTTTCCGAGTTATAGGTCCTTAAAGACATCATTTTGGATATAAATGATGTCAAAGTTCAAATTGTATATTAAATATTGAATACATTGAATTACATAATTTGGTCAAATATACTCTTAAAAATAGAGTAAATAAACTTCAAAAGATCAGAAATGCCTAAATAGTGTGAGTAAATATGTTAGAAAATGATACAATAAAGGTACTGTTTGTTTGTTATTAGTCGTGTTCATCTGTTGTTTCTCCACATACCATCTGTCGCGTTGATTTCGAGTAATAGCGTGTTAGGTTTTTTTTTTTTTTTTAATTTGGTCAAGTATTATTGAAAGAGCAGTGAACGAAAAAAATGTTATTTAGGTAAGTAGGTATCAACCTAATTGAGTAAGAAGCTCAGGTCCTCCCATCTACACGGATAATGAATATTTGGTTCATTGGTTGGTTTCGCGCAAAACCCAAATAACAAATAACTGCTTATATGTGTGCACAAGTGCCCAGCGTTCTGGATCCTGACTTGCAGGTACAATAATGACTTCTTACATTATTAAAGTCATATTCAATGAAAACCTTGTGTCTAACTACGTTTCTGAAGCGCGAAAACACCCT